TGGACCGTGCAGGTGCAGAAGATGAAGGCCGTCTACCATACTCTCAACCTGTGCAACATTGACGTCACCCAGCAGTGCGTCATCGCCGAGGTCTGGTACCCAGTGGCCGACACTGCCCGCATCCAGAGAGCTTTGGAGCATGGCACGGTGAGTGATGGGACGGGAAGGGCTGTGGGCAGTGGAGAGTGGAGCCCTGGGGCCCAGGGAGTTGGCCGGGAGTCCTGAGTCATCAGACACAGGTAGCTGGCAGATCATGTGAGTGGTGGAACCGTCAGGGAGCTGGCAGGCAGACTGAGTCAGGTGGCCTTGGCCAGTGACTTGGTGGGAGGGCTGGTCTTTGTAGCTTCAGTTATCAGCCCAGCGCCGGGCTCTGTGGAGACCTTGGTGGTCTGAAGGGTTAATGCTCAACATCTCACTGAGAGGTTGGCAGTGGGAGCCCACCCTGCGGTGCTCAGAAGAAAGGCCTGGCACTCCCCTTCTGAGAAAGCCAGCCCTGGGAAACCCCATACAGTTCGGTCCTACTCTGACACACACAGGGCCCATGAGGGCACTGGGGTTCCTGGTGCTGCTGTACAAGAAGGAGGCTTTGAAGGCCGGAGACTCATTTCTCACAGTTCTGGGAGCTGCAGGTCCACATCAGGGTCTGGACCATGCGATCCCCCTGTAGCCCTCCTCCTGGTGTCTGCTGGTGTTCCTTGGCCTGCAAATAGGACCTCAAGTGCCATGTCTCCTCCTGTCCACTCAGCCCCTCTGGTATGCTATCACACAGGAGTGATCAGGTTTTAGACCCACCCTAGGCTGCCCTGACCTCATGCACACTGTGTAAGTCTGGGTGGACTAGAGAAACAAATCCATAGACACTCATATGTGTATAAGAAAGAGCTTTATGTATAAGAGCAGGTGAATATTGAGAAAACCGCCCAGCCCAATCCAGATCAAGTCCATAAATCCAATATTAGCCCATATGTCCAATACCAATCCATAAAGTCCCCTTCAGACTCATGAAACACATGTAATGACGCTGAATACAGGAAGATTGCAGGCCAGTGGGTGGATAGTCTTTTGGATCTAGTGACGTTGTAAGCATCTCAACGCTGGTGTGGGTCTCCATGTAGCTTCTCCAGCTCGACTCTGGCTGCATCAGGGTAGCTCCATCAAGCACAGTGTCCTTAATGTCTGCAGGGAGTGAGTGGAGAAAGAGAGAGTGTCTCCCACCTTGAAGGAGGAGTTCCCAGAATCCTCCGGAGAAGCCCACGCCCACACAGAGGTCTCATTGGCTATGACCTGATTGAC